GTACTTTTATTAATGAAAAAATAATTTTAGATTACCAATTCAAAAAATAAATAATAAGAGAATCAAACTTTTTTTTAAAAGTATGCATTAAAAAACATTATGGCATACATATTTTTACAAGTTTCAGATCATAATATTTGACAGTCTACCTAAAGACAAAAAACAATGCTTTAACTTTTTTCTTCCTTAAAAAAAATTTAAAGATTTGCATTAGTATACAATTTATAACTGTATAATACAGATTTGAAGAGCATACATAATATGTACATTACAAAATAAAATAAGTTGAAACATATTTTAACATGCGAGTAAAAAAAATCCAAACACTATAAAATACTTTAACATGAAAGAAAATAATTTTTTGATTTTTATCCTTAAAATTTAAACGTGTAATAAAAATAACAGAAAAATTTTAACATTTTATATAAATGGAAAAAAAATTAAGGAAAAAAGTTTTTTGTTTATTATAGTTATGTACGAAGTTTTGTGAACTAGCTTGGTTTTAATTAATAATTCAGTTAAAATGACACATTACATTAAAGTGCTCTTTCATTTCAGGGTTGTGAGATCTTTTTAATTTTGCCATGTACGTTTTATTAAAGTATGAGGAATAATTAAATGTAATTCTTAAACATAGTGAGGTGTGATCTAAATATTTTAAGAGAAAATTATTAGATGTAAATAATAAATTTTTCATAGCTATTAAAAAAACTGAATCATTTAACAACTGAACAGGAAAAATAGTTAAAATGAAAACTATTTAATCAAAGGATGGAAAAAATGAATTTAAACTGGCCTTTTAGCTAGTGGTGCCTTAGACAGAAACATAAAAATAGAAATTAATTAGAAATAAACTTTTCCAAAAAACTCATTTGCAAAAGCATTAACTTTAGTTCAACTGAGCTTCCATAAAAAGAAGTGTTTGTGTTAAAAAAAAATTGACCATTAACCAAGTCATTTTTTATCTAAGTCCCTATCATTATCAAATTTTTCATAACTGTAAGAAAATACAATAAACAGTCAGTAAATAGAGAAGTTAAATTCAAAAATATCTATGAACACTTTTCATGTTAATAAACTTATAAATAGAATAAAATTTAATATACATTAAACAATAATAGTACAATACAATAATAATTCATAGAAAATACAATAAACAGAATAAAGAGTTTAAATTCAAAAATGTCTATGAACATTTAGAAATTTTTGAACGAAAAAAAAATTCTTTTTCAATTAAACATAGGACATAAGTTTGTACTTTTGAATCTAAGCCCTTTAAATGCTTAAATTTTCTTTAAAAAAACAACTAAGAAAATAAAGATAGTTATTCCTATTACGTCATTTTCTAATTAATGTTTAAATTTTCATTTAATTCTTCCTCATAAATGTTGTGCAGTGTTTTTAAAACAACAATTTTACCCTACTTCTATAGAAAGCAATAAATTTTGTAGAGTCAATGTTCTCATGAATCAAATGAATGTAAAGATTATCATTAAGTATCACACACTCATTCTCTGCAATCAATGTATAAGCAATAGATTCATGTGTAGTAAACTATTATTCTTAAAAAAAAAGTCATTCAGGTCTAGAAAATTATTGTTTCTACATTTATGTTATTACATTTTCAGTTGTACGGTATAAAAATTTGGTATATGTTGTGTAACTATTTATTTATTTCATAAAAAAACTTAAGAATGTTGTTTTTTTTTCTTTTTTTAGAGTTTATTATATAAAATTTCTTAAATAAAATAAGTTATATTTTATATGTGGTATTTTATTATCTGGAGAAAAAAAAAAACACTTTTGACGAAAATATGTATGGAGTCGTATGGTATAATTGACTATTTGAAGATTGTGATGAAAACAGGATAATGAAAATGACAGTTAAAGATGAAAACTGGATCATAATTATAATAAAATTTTTATTTAGTATTTGTAGAGCTCGAGATACAAAATTATATTTTATCAATAATAAGACTTTCTAAGTTAAATAATAAATTTTGTATAATAATATTAATAAGAAAAATCCAAGGGTGATAAATCCCCCATGACCAACCTAAACATAAGCCAAATTAAAAAGCGATTGAATTGTTCCCAACGGATAGTTAGGAGCATGGGAAGAGATCCATGGTTGGTGAGTTATTGAAAGATAACATAGCCAAAAACAAAGCCAACAATGAAAATAATTTGGCGAAAGCGAATGTTTAAAAAGACCGTGAGAATTAGTTTAACTATGTAATTGAAAAATTTTTGTGGTAAGAAATAAAGAGTTAAAAAGTTACAAATAGATATTTATTTTCGATTTAGTCGTGCCAGTGAATTAATGAGTCTTACATTAAGTATTGAAATAAAAAGTTAGCCGTTATATTGATTGATAAGAAAAAGATAAAATATTTTTATCCTTGCTTTTTTATAAATTGTAACAAAAATTAAATAACTGATTTAATTTAATTAAAATTCGGTTAAGAATGATTAAAAAAATAAGTTTAATAAATTGAAGAAATTTTAAAAGCTAGGACATATGTAATGCCTGTTGTGGCATCACAATAAGACTTTTAAATTTTAATTTAAGTTAGTTTTAAAAAATGGATTAAAATAGGTTCAATAAGGAATTTTTTTTTTCTTCCTATAACGATTATTTCAACAAATTTGTAATGTTTCAAAAAGGAAAAAATGCGAGTTGCATATATTTTTTAATAAGTTTAGAAAAAAAAACATCAACAAAAATCATGAAAGCAAACAGTTACAGCATGTTAGCAACTTAAAAACTCAAGTATCCCAAAAGCAAAAAAACAATTTAAGAAACTGACAGTCTGTAGAAAAAATTTAAAACAAAAAGGAAAAGTTCTTTTTAAGAGCCCTTAAACAATTCAATGAATTCAGATCTTTTTGATGATTTTAATAACCTTCCCCAAAACTTAGATTTTGAAAAAATTCTACTTTTTTCTGATTGTACCAGTACCTCCGTGGCAGAATCGCAGTGACACGGTGTCATCGTCGCAGAACATTACAGAGTTCTTGCAGAGAGATTTTTCAATTAAAAAAAGAACATTTTACTTTTCTTTTCTACAGAAATTTACAGGTAATATTTAAATCTGTATTTTTGGAAGTTGTTGATATCGATTTTCACATGGAAAAAATTTCACATTTATCGTTTTTTAAATATCCTGATATATTTCAAACAATAAGGAAAATTCGAATCGTGCATTTGAGCATTTACTTTTTAAGACAATAATTCTATCGAAATTTTGGCAGTTATTGCTACTGATTTCTCCATAGTTTTTAAATCCAACTTTTTTTATACAATATTATTTATTACATCAACCTAACCTCGAAACAAAACAAGCATTTGAAGAATCCAATTCGTGTGATTTCATTATCAATCTTTCTTTCAGTAATTACTGTTACGGATTTCATGATTTTTTATTATGATGATTATTTACAAGATGCAAAGGAGGAAATAATTTGTGCGTCCCCCCCCCACAAAAAAAAATAAAATGCAAGGATATCACCCATAATATTAGAATAAAAAATTATTACATGTTCAATTAAAAAAACAATTTATAGTTTTTTTGTTGTAAACACAGCGCTTTTGTTATTTTAATTTAGTAACATATATGTTTGCTATTATTAAAAGTGCTTTGTAGAAAAATATTAGTGCCAGAGAGGTATGTCGCAGATAGCTCGAAAAAATTCTGCCCCACAGGGTCAGTATCAATACTTCCATTTGAAAATTCTATTTTTTTCTTTTAACATAATATATTTTTATGAGCTTGTAGTATTTAATATTAACGCCTGGTAGCACTTCCCACTCTCGTGCCACAGGTCATGGGTTTGATCCTAGCGCCAGGCAAAGTTGACTCAGCCTTTCAATGGGTCAATAAAATGAGAACCACTAAGCATTAAATTTAATGTTAAATAATCACTTCAGTTCCCAGGCCTTCGAAATACAACTAGTTGACGACTCATGAAGATTCTGATATTTTAATTTTGTATTTCTTTCACTGCAAAGTTAAGTATAGTTTGTCTAGGGTAAGAACTCCCTCTCCACAAAGTTTGAGGCCGTCTGCTGCCATTGAAACAAGAACAGAGCAATTCAGGGAGGGTAGCTTCTCTTCGCTCTAGGGCTAACACAATAGACCAAAGAAAAATATTCCTTTTCTCTTGCTGACCAGAGCCAAAACCTGTCCTAAACAATGACCCCACACCACTATTTAAAATAAATTATATTTTCTCCGACAAAAACAGAATAATAAATTTTAAAAGCATTATAATAACATTAACTGAAATTATAGGTATAACCAAAACTGTTATACTCTGCATCTGCAGATTTATTGATTTTAAAATTAAAAAACAGAGTAAAGAAAGAGTTGAAGCAATAAAATAGCTAAAAAAATAATAGCTAAGCAAATAATTTTTTTCTCCAGAATTATATTCTTAAGATACTTTTCTTGTTCATCAGAAAGGACAGAAATATTCCAGAATTTTCTATTCTAATTTCGGAATAAAAAAATTTTGCCAATGACTGGCTTGCTTCAGCTAGAATTTTAAATTGATAAAATAAAAAAGAAATTTATAATAACAAAAATTCTGAAATCACAGAAGTTTAAGAGATAATTCAAATGTTTTTTCTTTCATTTTTCAAAAGAACACCATAATTTTTAAAGAACATAATAAAAACATTTTATATTTTAATAAAATATGACTCTGAGAGGGGATTTTGTAACAAATTCAGATATTTGGAACACCCTGGAATTGGGGGGGGAGAGAGATTCATTTTAAAAATAAAATTTTTCAGCAACCTAAATCCATGACTTTTCATGATTTTTTTTTTTAAAAAAAAATAGTTAAAATCATGACAAATTTTGTTCAATACCGAAATTCGTGACTTTCCATGATTTTCAAGACTTTCCAGATGCGCGGCTGTATAAACCATAACTTTACTCCATTTTAATATATTGCAAAAAAAGAAAAAAGTCAACATATTAAAAAAATACTAATAACAAAATTGATTAAGATTTAATTAACAAATTTGATACAACAACTACCATTCACAACACTACATAAACGTTACACTAAATTTCTGTTAATCAACAGGATCTCCTTTTTGCTTTAATCTATTTTTGATAGCCTTTTGCCTCAATGATTCTTCTTTTAAAGCTTTCTCCATATTAAGCTCATTCACCTCATCAACTTCTTTAGAGAGTTTTATAATTTGTTCCTGAAAAAAATTAAACTACTAAGAGCAACAGCAAATGTCAATTTATTACTATTAACAAAATATAGGAAGCTGCTATAACATTCAAAGAAAAAAAAACATAGCAAAATGAAAATTAAGCACATTATTTAATTAATCAGGATATTTGGCAACAGGGTGCATAGCCAAATCTTTCAACAAAAAATAAGCACCTTTCAAGTACTCAAAAAAAACTTTTAAGCACTATATACACTAACAAAATGCAACATAATTTTCGAAGAATTTAGATCATCATGAGAAAATAACTAGACTCTGACAAAAAAACTTTTTTCTTGATTATATTCCGTAATAAAGTGAACGAGTATAATGATTCGTAATAAATGATGACTTTTGGTTGGATATCAGAGGGTGGAAAATGAAGTCTGAAATTGAGAATATCTTGCAAAATCACCGATGTCAGCTCAGTCGACGCACAAATGGACTCGTAAGTATTTAAGCAATGTAAGATGATTGGCGCTTTCATACGCTATGGACAGACAGTACGCCAAAATGAATTGTGAAAATGTTGAATAGAACAATGTGAAAAGCGCGCTTTTGCATAATACATAGCGAAAATTGACATGGTAACAAAAAAATCTCATTTTGGAAAAGTGGATCTTTCGGAACAAGCATTTACTAGAACATTTAGGTACAAAAAAAGTTTTAACTTTGTGAGATTCAATCATTTATGACACATGAAATTAGGAAAAATTTAGCTGGTTACAAAGAAAAATTGGACAGAAGTAACAGCACATGAAAGGATATACAATTTCCTAGGTATTGAATTTGCTTTAACGCAGATATATGCAGGGTATCTACTACATTTTAGATTCTCAAATTCGTGACTTTTCATGACATTCCAAGAACTTTTTACTATTACAAAAGTTACTATTTTCTTCCGACAAAAACAGAACAATAAATTTAGAAAGCATCATAATAACATTAATTGAAATGATAAGTATAACCAAAACTGTTATACTCTTCATTCTCATATTTACAGATTTTAAATTTAAAACAGAGTATAGAAAGAGTTAAAGCAATAAAATAAGTGAAAAAAATACAAAAGTGAAAAAATATTTTTTCAGTAGAATTATAGTCTAAAGATACTTTTTCTTGTTCATCTGAAAGGAAAGAAATGCTCCGGAATTTTCTGTTCTCATTTCGGAATAAAAAAAATCTGCCAATGACTGGCTTGCTTCAGTTAAAATTTTAAATTGATAAAATAAAAAAATAAATAATAAAAATTCTGAAATCACAGAAGTTTAAAAGATAATTAATTCGCTCTAGAAATGTTTTTGCTTTCATTATTTGAAAGAAAACCATAACTTTTAAAGAAAATGATAAAAACATTTTATATTTTAATAAAATATGACTTTGAGAGGGGATTTTGTTACAAATTCAGATATTCATAACACTATGCAATTGGGGGGGGGGGGGCAAATTTCATTTTAAAAATTAGATTTTTGGGCGACCTAAATCCATGACTTTTCACGATTTTTTTCGACAAAAATAGTTAAAATTATGACATTTCATGACAAATTTTGTTCAGGACTCACAGTGGAAAATAAAAGAAAAATTACCAATAATATATGCAGGTTGTGAATTGAATGACAAGCATTGATTTGTGGAGAAATTACATAAATTATTAGCTCCTTGGTCTAACAGTCAAAGTTCTAGACCAGGGATGGCGAACCAATGGCACGCGTGCCATTTATGGCACGTGACACAATATTTTGGGCACGCAACCGATTGCAATTGTTATTGAACTATGAATTGTTATTACACAAATGTTATTACACTATGAAGTAACAATGTAACAATGTTACTTCAATGTTACTTGTATGTAACAATTAAATTAAAATTAACTAAAACAAACAAAATAATATATAATTATTAATAAAAAAATTAACAATTAATGCTAAAAAACAATTAATAACCATAAAAATAAGTTAACAATAAGTAACTAGCAAAACAAATTAGCAGTCTTGCTAAAACTAACATCTTACAACCTAATATAAGTTATTTGTCGTCTAATCTGCAGCAACAGAAGTCACACTGATGTTACTTTAAGTTGAATTATACCTGAGACATTGCAAAATGTAAATGTATTTATAACTGAAACATTGCAATTGGTATTTTTCTTCCAATGTAAATAAAGAGTTTTAAGTTGATAGTATTTAGTATTATTATTTTACCAATAATCACGAACTTAAAACTATTTGACGGCACGTCTACGATATCATTAAGCAATATTTTAGTAAAAATGGCACGTTGGTGTATAAAGGTTCGCCACCCCTGTTCTAGACAATTTGAAATTGAATAACAAGAATCCAAAGCATTCAATAAAAATGCTCTCACTTTTGCCTCATATTATTATGTTTAAGAACATATATTAGAATCATCTTTATCCAGCCATTATGCATAACAGATAATTGATATCTTTGGTCAGATGTGAAAGTACAATCGTGAAATATTGATGTTATTTCAAAGAGAACATAACATCAGTTTTGAAATGTATTAAAACTATACAAAAAAAAATAAAATTAAACTAATGTTTAAATTTGAGAACAAAACAGACACCTTAAATAAAGTGCAAAACTATAAATTTAGTGCCAAAACTATAAAATTTTTATGTTTGTTAATTTAAATTATATATTTTTACAGTCAAATTCAATAATTATTTAATTTCTTTTAAAATGTTCTTAAAGTGACAAGAAATAGATATTATAAGTGAACAATTTTTCATTGTGAATAATATTTTAGCAACATCAGTTCTCTCAACACAGAAAACAAACGGCATTTGTAACATCAAATAGAATCAAATAAATAATATTAAATCAATTTTCTCGACACAGAAAACAAACATTTGTAATTTCAAATTTTAAATAGAATTAAATTAATATTAAATCAATTCTCTCAACACATAAAACAAACATTTGTAGTAAAAAATTTTAAATAGAATGAAATAAAAAATATTTATATATCTTCAAACTACATGGAGAAAAAAAAAATTGGAAATCAAAAAATATACCTTTAAAAAAATTTTATGTACCTTAAAACTTTTAAAAAATGTAAAAGATAAGTAGTTAATTGTAAGAGTAAAATGTTTTCTAACTATGACTATTATTATTAGAAGGAGGTTTAAAACTCAGAGATCATTTATTGCTTTAGGTCATTGTGTTGCAACATCAGGATTCATGAATTGATCGCTGTTAAAATATTCTTAAGTTAACAGCATCAAAATTCATACAAATTTCACTTAATAATAGTTGGCAGCAATTAAGAGCCCTGATAAAAATAAAAGAACCTGGCACCAAATTTTTTCTAAAAGCATTTTTGTCGCACTTCTGAATCAATCCAAAAAATATATATATATACACCTTTTATGACATCAAAAAGTCTAAATCTAATTCAGTGAAATTTACATTAGCTTTAATCACCATTTAAAGATATAAAAATTTGTTTTCTTTGTTTCCTGCAAAAATAGAGATTTTATAATTGGGGGGAAGAATAGTACATAATAAAATATGCAGAAATAAGAAATAATAAGACAAATAAACTATACAGTCACGTCAAAAAAATCGAAACAGTAATTCTGAATAAGATAAAGCAACTCTTTTCTTTTTAAATGTATATACAGAGACTGTTTTTAAGCAAAGGCTATTTTGTTGTGTACAATAGGTAATGCGTGTGTCACAGCAAGTGCTTGCGTCGTGTCCTGGCAATGCTTGGGAACAACTGTGCTAAGTTACAGCTGTGTATGTAACTTGTAAGACAGTTCTGTCTTTAAAACATTCAAATTGAACAAATTGCTCACCACATATGAGATATGATCAAGGATGCATTTTTTGCATAAAAAAAACTTGTCTGCTGCCTACATTCACCGGCAGATTTGTGATGTTTACGAAGTTTCCGACTGGCATGCTGACGGGAATTTTTGCAACTCCCGGACAATTACTCTCTCCACAGCTCAGTCCCGAGCGTTATGGGACTCTTTTGGCTGGGAAGTTTTGAACCACCCCTCTATACCACCCAGACATTTCGCAAAGTGATTTTTAGCTTTTCCAATGCTTCGAATTTCATTTTGGCTGCGACCAGTACAACGATGACAAGAACGTGAAAGCGGTCAAGCCCTCTAGTTACTTAAGTTACTAAGAAGAGGGTGTTCTGAATATAGTTGTAAAGTATGATAAGCGTTTAAGCAAACTCGGTAACTACTTTGGGGAAAAAAGAAGCATACAAAGAATGAAAAAATATATTTGCTTCATGAAAATTTTCTTTCATTTGAATCTTATTTTCAAATGGCCCTTACCTAAAGAACAGCCCTCGTTTTTGAAATAAATATATGTATGCATATATAAGCTCAAAATGTCGAGAAAACATGGAAAAAAATTACGGAATAATGAAAAAAGACAAGACAATTATTTTAAAAAGATAAATAAACATAAAATAAAAAAATTCCATGTTTTCGCTACATTTTGAACTTATTTTATGAGTTCTATTTACTTGCAGCTTATGCGCAGAAAATAAAACTTATTGTTTTTCTTAATTTCCTTCGTGTTTTTTTTTCCTTTTTATATTTATTTATTATGCTATATATATGAATATATATATATATATATGATTGATAAGAAGAAGAAATATTTAAATTATAAAGAAATTTTTCTCTACAATTCTGAAAAACTATGCTTTAGTTTAATCAGCATAGCACAGTACTTTAACAAGACACAATGCAACAACTGCATTTTGACAGCTGAAATTTGAAAAACTTACATCCTAAAAACTGAAAATCTAATACAAGGGACATACATTTCAATTAAAATATTACAGAAATATTTTATGAATTAGTCAAAACATTTTTATTTGCTTTAATAAACACTTACGCAGTATTCTTTATTGAGCCTAATTTTTCTTTTCTGTCCTTCAGACAAAGGAGCAGGTCTACCATCTAAAAGAGATCAAAATATTTAAGAATCCGCAACTATTCAGAGTATTTTTTTTTAAACACATTTCTTACAAAGTTAAATTTGACCGTATTTAAACAAGAGTATCCTGTCTGTGGTTATTTTGCTTTATACCCCTAAAAACTGAAAAAATATTAATAAAGAGCAAGAATACATTAGAATAAAAATTTATATTGATCATAATGTTACATAAAGAACATTGGTTCATTTTTATAAATGTTTTGATAAAAATAATAATAATGAAATGAAAATTAATAAAATTAATTAATGAAAATTAATATGAAAGAATATTAATGATGTGAATGAGAAATTAAAATAGTGATCATAATGTTATGTAAAGAATATTGGTTAATTTTTATAAATGTTTTTATGAAAACTGAAAGAATATTAATAATGTGCAGGAATACATTAGAAAAAAATTAATAATGATCATAATGTTACATAAAGAACATTGATACATCTTTATAAATGTTTGGATAAAAACTGAAAGAATATTAATAATGTGCAAGAATAAATTAGAAAAAAAATTAATAATGATCAAATGCTACGTAAAGAACATTGATTAATCCTTATATATGCTTTGATAAAAACTGAAAAAATATTAAAAAGTGCAAGAATACATTAGAAAAAAAAATTAATATTGATCATAATGTTATGTAAAGAACATTGGTTCATTTTTATAAATGTTTTGATAAAAATAATAATAATAATGAAATGAAAATTAATAAAATTAATATGAAGGAATATTAATAATGCGCAAGAATACATTAGAAAAAAATTAATAATGATCATAATGCTATGTAAAGAACATTGATTCATCTTTATAAATGTTTTGATAAAAACTGAAAAATTATTAATAAAGAGCATAAAAACATTAGAAAAAAAATTTTTATTGTTACGCAAAGAACATTGGTTCACTTTTATAAATGTTTTGATAAAAATAATATTAATAATGAAATGAAAATTAATAAAATTAAATAATGAAAATTAATATGAAAGCATATTAATAATGTGAATGAGAAATTAAAATAGTGATCATAATGTTATGTAAAGAATATTGGTTCATTTTATAAATGTTTTTATGAAAACTGAAAGAATATTAATAATGTGCAAGAATACATCAGAAAAAAATTAATAATGATCATAATGTTATGTAAAGAACATTGATACATCTTTATTAATGTGTTGATAAAAACTGAAAGAATATTAATAATGTGCAAGAATACATTAGAAAAAAAATTAATAATGATCAAATGCTACGTAAAGAACATTGATTCATCGTTATATATGCTTTGATAAAAACTGAAAAAATATTAAAGTGCAAGAATACATTAGAAAAAAAATAATTTTATTGATCATAATGTTATGTAAAGAACATTGGTTCATTTTTATAAATGTTTTGATAAAAATAATAATAATAATGAAATGAAAATTAATAAAATTAATATGAAGGAATATTAATAATGCGCAAGAATACATTAGAAAAAAATTAATAATGATCATAATGCTATGTAAAGAACATTGATTCATCTTTATAAATGTTTTGATAAAAACTGAAAAATTATTAATAAAGAGCATAAAAACATTAGAAAAAAAATTTTTATTGTTACGCAAAGAACATTGGTTCACTTTTATAAATGTTTTGATAAAAATAATATTAATAATGAAATGAAAATTAATAAAATTAAATAATGAAAATTAATATGAAAGCATATTAATAATGTGAATGAGGTATTAAAATAGTGATCATAATGTTATGCAAAGAATATTGGTTCATGTTTATAAATGTTTTGATAAAAACTGAAAAAATATAATTAATGTGCAAGAATACATTAGAAAAAAATTTATAATGATCATAACACTAAGTAAAGAACATTGATTCATGTTTATAAATGTTTTTAAAAACTGAAGGAATATTAATAATGTGCAAGAATACATTAGAAAAAAAATTCATAATAATCATAATGCTATGTAAAGAACATGGATACATTTTTATAAATGCTTTGATAAAAACTGAAAGAATATTAATAATGTGCAAGAATACATTAGAAAAAAAAATTTAATAATGATCAAATGCTATGTAAAGAACATTGGTTCATTTTTATAAATGTTTCGATAAAAACTGAAAAAATATAATTAATGTGCAAGAATACATTAGAAAAAAAAATTTATATTGATCATAATGTTATGTAAAGAACATTGGTACATTTTTATAAATGTTTTGATAAAAATATTAATAATGAAATGAAAATTGATTAATGAAAATTAATATGAAAGAATATTGATAATGTGCAAGAATACATGAAAAAAAAATGATATAATGTTATGTAAAGAACATTGATTCATCTTTATAAATGTTTTGATAAAAACTGAAAAAATATTAAAAAAATGCAAGAATACATTAGAAAAAAAAAATTAATATTGATCATAATGTTATGTAAAGAACATTGGTTCATTTTTATAAATGTTTTGATAAAATAATATTAATAATGAAATGAAAATTAATATGAAAGAATATTAAAAAAAAAATTAATATTGATCATGATGTTATGTAAAGAACATTGGTTCATTTTTATAAATGTTTTGATAAAATAATATTAATAATGAAATGAAAATTAATAAAATTAATTAATGAAAATTAATATGAAAGAATATTAATAATGTGCAAGAATACATTAGAAAAAAATTAATAATGATCAAATGCTACGTAAAGAACATTGATTCATCGCTATATAACCTTTGATAAAAACTTAAAAAATATAATTAATGTGCAAGAATACGTTAGAAAAAAAATTAATCATGATCATAATGCTATGCAAAGAACATTGATTCATGTTTATAAATGTTTTCAAAAACTGAAAGAATATAATTAATGTGCAAGAATACATTAGAAAAAAATTTATAATGATCATAATGCTACATAAAGAACATTGATTCATCTTTATAAATGTTTTGATAAAAATTGAAAAAATATAATTAATGTGCAAGAATACATTAGAAAAAAAATTAATATTGATCATAATGTTACGTAAAGAACATTGGTTCACTTTTATAAATGTTTTGATGAAAATAATACTAATAATGAAATGAAAATCAATAAAATTAAATAATGAAAATTAATATGAAAGAATATTAATAATGTAAAAGAATACATTAGAAAAAAAATTAATAATGATTATAATGCTATGTGAAGAACATTGATTCAACTTTATAAATGTTTTGATAAAAACTGAAAAAATATTAATAAGTGCATAAAAACATTAGAAAAAAATTTTATATTGATCATAATGTTACGTAAAAAACATTGGTTCATTTTTATAAATGTTTTGATAAAAATAATATTAATAATGAAATGAAAATTCATAAAATTAAATAATGAAAATTAATATGAAAGAATATTAATAATGTGAATGAGAAATTAAAATAGTGATCATAATGTTATGTAAAGAATATTGGTTTATCTTTTTAAATGTTTTGATAAAAATTTAAAAAATATAATTAATGTGCAAGAATACATTAGAAAAAAAATTAAAAATGATCATAATGCTATGCAAAAACATTGATTCATCTTTATAAATGTTTTGATAAAAACTGAAAGGATATTAATAATGTGCAAGAATACATTAAAAAAAAAATAATGATCAAATGCTACGTAAAGAACATTGGTTCATCGTTATATATGCTTTGATAAAAACTGAAAAAATATTTAAAAAATGCAAGAATACATTAGAAAAAAAACATTAATATTGATCATAATGTTATGTAAAGAACATCGGCTCATTTTTATAAATGTTTTGATAGAAAAAATATAATTAATGTGCAACAATACATTAGAAAAAATTTATAATGATCATAATGTTAAGTAAAGAACATTGATTCATCTTTATAAATGTTTTGATAAAAACTGAAAAAATATAATTAACGTGCAAGAATACATTAGAAAAAAATTAAAAATGATCATAATGTTATGTAAAGAGCATTGGTTCATTTTTATAAATGATTTGATAAAAATAATAATAATAATGAAATGAAAATTAATAAAATTAAATAATGAAAATTAATATGAAAGCATATTAATAATGTGAATGAGAAATTAAAATAGTGATCATAATGTTATGTAAAGAATATTGGTTCCTTTTTATAAATGTGTTGATAAAAACTGAAAGAATATTAATAATGTGCAAGAATACATTAGAAAAAAAATTAATAATGATCAAATGCTACGTAAAGAACATTGTTTCATCCTTATATATCCTTTGAAAAAAACTAAAAAGATATTAAAAAAGTGCAAGAATACATTAGAAAAAAAAATTAATATTGATCATAATGTTATGTAAAGAACATTGGCTCATGTTTATAAATGTTTTTAAAAACTGAAAGAATATTAATAATGAGCAAGAATACTTTAGAAAAAAATTAATAACGATCATTATGTTATGTAAAGAACATTGATTCATCTTGAGAAACGTTTTGATAAAAACTGAAAAAATATTAATAATGTGCAAGAATACATTAGAAAAAAAATTAATATTGATCATAATGTCATGCAAAGAACATTGGTTCATTTTTATAAATGTTTTGATAACAATATTAATAACGAAATGAAAATTAATAAAATTAAATAATGAAAATTAATATGAAAGAATATTAATAATGTGAATGAGAAATTAAAATAGTGATCATAATGTTAGGTAAAGAATATTGGTTCATTTTTATAAATGTTTTTATGAAAACTGAAAGAATATTAATAATGTGCAAGAATACATTAGAAAAAAAAATTAATAATGATCATAATGCTACGTAAAGAACATTGATCCATCTTTATAAATGTTTTGATAAAAACTGAAAGAATATTGATAATGTGAATACATTAGAAAAAAAAATACATTAGAAGAATACATTAGAAAAAAAATTTATAATGATCATAATGCTATGTAAAGAACATTGGTTCAATTTTAAAAATGTTTTGATAAAAATAACATTAATAATGAAATGAAAATTAATTAAATTAAATAATGAAAATTAATATGAAAAAATATTAATAATGAGCAAGAATACATGAGAAAAAAAAATTATGATATAATGTTATTTAAAGAATATTGGTTCAATAAATGTTTTGATAAAAACTGAAAGAATATTAATAATGTGCAATAATACATTAGAAAAAAAATTAAAAATGATCATAATGCTATGCAAAAACATTGATTCATCTTTATTAATGTTTTGTTAAAAACTGAAAGGATATTAATAATGTGCAAGAATACATTAAAAAAAAAATAATGACCAAATGCTACGTAAAGAACATTGGTTCATCGTTATATATGCTTTGATAAAAACTGAAAAAATATTAAAAAAATGCAAGAATACATTAGAAAAAAAACATTAATATTGATCATAATGTTATGTAAAGAACATTGGTTCATTTTTATAAATGTTTTGATAAAAATAATATTAATAATGAAATGAAAATTAATAAAATCAATTAATGAAAATTAATATGAAAGAATATTAATAATGTGCAAGAATACATTAGAAAAAAAATTAATAATGATCATAATGTTATGTAAAGAACATTGGTTCATGTTTATAAATGTTTTGATAAAAACTGAAAAAATATAATTAATGTGTAAGAATACATTAGAAAAAAAATTTATAATGATCATAATGCTACGTAAGGAACATTGATCCATCTTTATAAATGTTTTGATAAAAACTGAAAGAATATTGATAATGTGAATACATTAGAAAAAAAAATACATTAGAAGAATACATTAGAAAAAAAATTAATAATGATCATAATGCTATGTAAAGAACATTGGTTCAATTTTATAAATGTTTTGATAAAAAGAACATTAATAATGAAATGAAAATTAATTAAATTAAATAATGAAAATTAATATTAAAGAATATTAATAATGTACAAGAATACATGAGAAAAAAAATTATGATATAATGTTATGTAAAGAATATTGGTTCATTTTTATAAATGTTTTGATAAAAACTGAAAGAATATTAATAATGTGCAAGAATACATTAGAAAAAAAAATTAATAATGATCAAATGCTACATAAAGAACATAGATTCATCGTTATATATGCTTTGATAAAAAATGAAAAAATATTAAAAAAGTGCAAGAATACATTAGAAAAAAAATTAATATTGATCATAATGCTATGTAAAGAACATTGATTCATCTTTATAAATGTTTCCATAAAAACTGAAAAAATATTAATTAAGTGCAAAAATACATTAGAAAAAAAATTAATAATGTTCAAATGCTACGTAAAGAACATTGATTCATCTTTATATATGCTTTGATAAAAACTGAAAAAATATTTAAAAAGTACAAGAATACATTTTAAAAAAAATTAATATTCATCATAATGTTATGTAAAGAACATTGGTTCATTTTTATAAGTGTTTTGATAAAAAAAAATATTAATAATGACATGAAAATTATTTAAATTAAATAATGAAAATTAATATGAAAGAATATTAATAATGTGCAAGAATACATGAGAAAAAAATAATGATATAATGTTATGTAAAGAATATTGGTTCATTTTTATAAATGTTTTTATAAAAACTACAAGAATATTAATAATGTGCAAGAATACAATAGAAAAAATTAATAATGATCATCATGTTATGCAAAGAACATTGGTTCATTTTTATAAATGTTTTGAAAACAACAATATTAATAATGAAATGAAAATTAATAAAATTAAATGAGAATTAATATGAAAGAACATTAATAATGTGCAAGAATACATTAGAAAAAAAATTAATAATGATCATAATGTTATGTAAAGAACATTGGTTCATGTTTATAAATGTTTTGAAAAAAACTGAAAGAATATTAATAATGTGCAAGAATACATTAGAAATAAAATTAATAATGATCAAAATGCTACTTAAAGAACATTGATTCATCTTTATAAATGTTTTGATAAAAACTGAAAGAATATTAATAAAGTGCAAGAATACATTAGAAAAAAAATTAATATTGATCATAATGTTATGAAAAGAACATTGGTTAATTTTTATAAATGTTTTGATTAAAATAATATTAATAATAAAATTAATTAATGAAAATTAATATGAAAGAATATTAATAATGTGCAAGAATACATTAGAAAAATAATTAATAGTGATCATAATGTTATGTAAAGAACATTGATACATCTTCATAAATGTTTCGATAAAAACTGAAAAAATATAAATAATGTGCAATACATTAAAAAAAAATTAATAATGATCATAATGTTATGTAAAGAACATTGATACATCTTTATAAATGTTTTGATAAAAACTGAAAGAATATTACTAATGTGCAAGAATACATTAGAAAAAAGATTAATAATGATCATAATGCTATGTAAAGAACATTGATTCATCTTTATAAATGTTTTGAGAAAAACTGAAAAAATATTAATAAAGTGCAAGAATACATTAGAAAAAAATTAATATTGATCATAATGTTATGTAAAAAAACATTGGTTCATTTTTATAAATATTTTGATAAAAATAATATTAATAATGAAATGAAAATTAATAAAATTAATTAATGAAAATTAATATGAAAGAATATTAATAATGTGCAAGAATATAATAGAAAAAAATTAATAATGATCATAATGTTATTTAAAGAACATTGACTCATTTTTATAAATGTTTTGATAAAAACTGAAAGAATATTAATAATGTGCAAGAATACATTAGAAAAAAAATTAATAATAATCATAATGTTATGTAAAGAATATTGATACATCTTTATAAATCTTTTGATGAAAACTGAAAGAATATTAATAATGCGCAAGAATACATTAGAAAAAAAAATTAATAATGATCATAATGTTATGTAAAGAACATTGATTCTTCTTTATAAATGTTTTGATAAAAACTGAAAGAATATTAATAATGTGCAAGAATACCTTAGAAAAAAAATTAATAATGATCATAATGTTATGTAAAGAACCTTGATACATCTTTATAAATGTTTTGATAAAAACTGAAAGAATATTAATAATGGGCAAGAATACATAAGAAAAAAAAAATAATGATCATAATGTTACGTAAAGAACATTGATTCATCTTTATAAATGTTTTGATAAAAACTGAAAGAATATTAATAATGTGCATGAATACCTAAGAAAAAAATTAATAATGATCATAATGTTATGTAAAGAACATTGATACATATTTATAAATGTTTTGATAAAAATTGAAAGAATATTAATAATGTGCAAGAATACATTAGAAAAAAAATTAATAATGATCATAATGTTAAGTAAAGAACATTGATACATCTTTATAAATGTTTTGATAAAAACTGAAAGAATATTAATAATGTGCAAAAATCTTAATATTATGTATATTCCAATGTACGCGAAAATTGGGTCGGCTGTTCAACGACTGTTATAATATTTAATAGAAGAATACAGATGTAACTGGGACACATCTAATGAAAAGCTTCAATGCTTCTCCAAATATCACACAACAAAACATTAAAAAAATATGAAAACATTATTACCCTTAATATATTTACAAATTTTCATAATATTTAAGTTTTAATTTTTAAATTAAAACATCATTTAACACTTTTGCAGCAAAATAAAAAATGTGTACTTAAAATTAGAAAGTAGTAAGAGAAAAAAATAATTACCTGCATAAGACCAATCAGGAAGATCAGTTAGAGGACCATATTCTGCTCCTTTGGCAGGAATTCCATGCCTAAAGTTATACATAAATTTGTGTATCTATTTTCCGAACATTTTACTATATGATACACATATAAAAAGAAAGTTATATTTTGTTATGAAATTAGAGCCAATATAAACAATCAGTGTTCATACATCAGTGATAAACAATTAAATTATTTTATTAATTAATTTTATTTAGACAATTAAACAATTTTTTTAAGTAAAAAAAAAATTTTCTGCGCATAGAATAAATATGCAAGCAATAAAATCAACTGTGCAGAAGTAGTTGAAATAAACAAAGTATATAATATAGATTTATTTTTTTAATAAACAAGTATTTGAACATTGTCAATGATTTGTTAATGAATGAATGTTGAACATTGTCAATGATAGCTAAATGAAAGGTTGACTGTAACAGTATAAAATCCATTAGCATTTTCTTTTATGTTACAAAAATATGAAAAGTATATTACAAAAACTGGAACAAATATCAAAAATTAAGTAGGAATTCTTCAGTATAATATACAATAAAAAAAATTTATAAAAAAATTACTTTATCCTCCATTCTCCAACTTTAGGATATAATAAACCATTGGAAACATGGAAATTTCTCAACAAAGACTTAGTTTGTATGGATGCACCTAAAAATTAAAAATTATAAATAAATAACAGAAGCACTAAATAATAACTCTAAAAAATTAGATATTATTATGGTTGCAAGTTTGTGGCGGTGAGAATTATTAATAATTTATGATTCACAACCATTTTGAAATGCTAAGAGTTTCACGAATTTTTTTTTTTTTTTTTAATATTTCAGTAACTTTGTTCAGTTTACTTTGTTTTTTAATTAATGTTGTTCTTCAATGTGTATAACACAAAAAAGTGCTGTTGAACATCAACTAATACTTTTCTGAAGCTTCAGAATTGAGAATATGTAACTGACAAAACATTTAGAAAGGTTCAATAGCGAAATAATTAAAAAAGTGTTCAGAGATAAGAGAAAATCCAAATTCTACTGAGTGAAGTGGTTCTTCAATAGCTCAAATGCACATTGATGTCACAAAATTGATCCAGTTTTGGAAATAAAGACAGAATGTTAACTCAAACTAAGAAATAAACAAGTCAATGTCTAGAAATAGGGTAGATGCTAAAGAATTGTCTTGGTGGTTTAAAAATGAGTTTCAAAATGCATAAGAATATAAAAGAGAAAAATTTAACGTCCATATTCCATTCCTAAATAAAATAATAATAATGAATGTAAATAATGAAATTCTAAAAGGAATAAAAATAAACAATACATAAAATTAAAAAGGATAATTATTCAATTCTTTTATTTTTTTATTATTACTTAATCCATAGATGTCTTCAGTACTTTTTTAAGAGTTAAACTAAAGTTTTCCAAATTTTCCATTATATTTAGAAATAAACATACAACACAAAAGAACAACAAAAATAGGTATAAACTAAGGTAAACAACGTTAAAGAGCATAAAAATATTATTAAATGCAGACAGCTGTTTCGAATGCTCAAAGGGCAACAGATTGCTCTTTGAGCATCCGAAACAGCTGTCTGCATTTAATAATATTTTTGTGCTCTTTAACGTTTACCTTAATTTGTATTTTAGCACAAAGGTCTCCAATTTGTGTATTTAAAAATAGGTACATTTGAAAATAAATATATTTTCATTATCAAGTGCAGAATATTATTTTTACGATATGCTAAAATACTATTTTTAAAAATAAAAAAAATTCTGGTAAAAAACACATTTGGAATGTTGATTCATCAATATTGAATGGTACAAAATTTCCATACAAAAGATATTCAAAATAGGATAGTCTAAACAGGATTATTGGAGTATATTTTAATTGCTACTTAGATATCTAAACAAATGATTGCCACACAAGAACCTACCAAACTGCTTTCAGAGGTCAAAAAAAATTGTAAAACTACTATTGACGGCAGTAGTACCTAAATAGTAGTAATAGGTAATATAGTTGGTGCACAGTTTTTTTTTAAAGCCCACAGAAGTGGAATAATGCTGTGACGTTTCTTAAATTAATATCAAAAAAAAATTTCGCAAGTGAAATAGGATTATTTGACGAGAAAAACTTTGCTTTTTTTGCATCAAAACATTTCAATATTAATACGTACTAAAAATAATTTTCACTTAATTACTTCATTCAAGTCAAACCTATTTTCAAAGAGATAAATATTATCATCATACACATAATATTCGCATATGCCACCGAAACCCTTTAAAAAATATAAAATTACAACACATTCCAGAAAATAATTATGATAAAAGCAGAGAGGACAAGGTAATGAGAGAATTAAAACAATTGACCATGAAAAAATTACAATTTTAAAGAACGTAGTTAATATCAATATATTAATATTATTAGCATTACAAAGCTAACGCAATTTGTTACTCCGTGTCACTATTAATTTTGTTAGCTACAATTGGGGAAAACTTGAAAGGAATAATGAATATTAAATTTCATACCGCGGCAAAAAAATATACAATTTCGAAGTACAGCAGCCATGTTTGTTTACTAATGCCTTTTGCAGTTACGGTCAGAGTTTTTTGTTTTTTAAAAAAAAATATATATATATAAACTTAAATTATTTTCCTGTATGCTTGTCGCCTTTGTTTTAAAATTGCATACTTTTTTATAAAATGGCAACATGACAGCATTTAATTAGTTTCGTTTTGGATAGTTTTCTAGAATTTGATAGAAATATGAAGGAAAGCTTAATTTAGAAAACTATTCTTGTATTCCTCTAACACACATGTTGCACAAGTTTTTCATTTTGATTAATTTTCCAGTTAACAGTTAGACGGATAGTTACCAAGATGGAAGACGATAATTTAGATAAAGCATTACAAACTGCAATATTAGCATTGCTTGACATTAAACCTAAAGATCCAATTAAATTTCTAGCGTCTCACTTTCAAATGGAATGCGAAACTAATTTAGTCGCGAAAGCTGTTAATTTACTTCAGGATATGACCATATATCATCCTGCTATTGAAGAGCGTTTATTGGAATCGTATGCAATAATTAGCCAATACAGCGATGAAGACGGTGTTACCGGGGACATTTACACGGATTTATTGGTTAAATTAATTGCCGATGTTCCAGCTTTTCAAAAAGAAAACTTTTTGCACTACTTGCAGTGCCAGAGTACGGAATACGTATCGTTTGATGTATTCAGATCTGGTGTTTTGACTTCTATTTTGTTTAATCAATTTATACAAGAAGTTCATTTGCTCTTCACGAAACTTTGTGTCGAAAATCATGATTCAGCTCCCACTTTTCTGTGCAAAAAAGCTTTGCGGAAAATGACTAAATGTTTAACCGAAGCTTTGAAAAAGAGTGCCAGCAACTCAAACTTTACTCTTGGGATATCAGAAATGAGTTCACCCATTCGAAAAGCTTTGCCCAAAAATCTTCCCCCTACTGATTATGTTAAGTTAAATACATTTGTAGCAGAAGCGATAGAAATTTTTATAAGAGAAGTACCAAAAGTTAAATAAATCTATTTTTTTAGGTTACTCTAAATTAAAAAGATTTTACGATTCTCCTTTTTATTGCAATTCCACGCACGAAGTCATTCAGCAGTTTGAAAAGATTTTTCCAAAAATTTAGGAAAAAGATTCTATGATTCTACTTTTTATCTGCCTTTCCACCAGTAAAATCATTCACCAATTAGAAAAGCTGTAGCTAAAAAAAAATTTCAAACTGATAAAATAAAATGTTAAATACTTCATAGAAAAATTTATTGAAGAAGTGACAAAAATAAATTGTATCATTGTGGTTACTTTTTGAGAAAAAGATTTCAAATGTTTCTCATTTGTATATTATTTCTATTATAAAAATTTATATTAATTTCTAGATTCAAGTCAGAAGCACTATTATTAAATGTAATTATTTTGGTCAATTGTATATGTGGTTATGTTTGTTGTAAATCATCTACTGATTTACTGTAACAAATTTTAGTTATGGTCACAATGTTTACTTGGTACTTTTTGTTCAGCCAAGCTTATGGAAATTCAACAATTCTTTTCTTTTTTTTTTTTAAATTTTATTTGTTTATTTTTTGTGAACATCTATTTTGTTCAGGAGTTTAAATTCTTTAGCTATATTTTGCTTGCACCCAGATAACCGAAAAGTACCACTTGTTTTATATTTTAATATTTAAGATATATTTATTTATTATTTTTGTTTGCATGTTAAACATTGTTTTTTATTTATTTATTTATTCATTATTGGTAGCAACAACATTGTTGCAATGCAAACATATGCTAAATTTGATAAGAAGAGAAATAGACTGTGATAAGTTTTCGTCACTGAAATATTAGATTTGATTTTATTTCTTTATTCATTAATATATATTCTATCAATTCCGTAAATTACTATCTAGAATTACTACTGTAAGAATATACATTAGGAAAATTTTTACTGTTTAGATAAATATAGGATGTAGTTTGATAAATATTTCTTTCTATATAAATATTTAAAACAATGTTTTTTTTAAGTATATTAGTATTTTTTATAAGGCCAGTTCAATCAACACATCTCTATAGGATCTAGTGTTTGTGTTAGAGGCCAAAAAACAAAATTACTTCCATCTAGTGTTATCTTTAAAAAATTTGGCTAAAAATTACATAACTATTCTAAACATTTTGATAATTATTTTGTTTTTAAATTTAATAGATAAAAATTATGTGGAGAACTAATACTAAATTTAGCAAAATGAATTAAAGGACTAAGTTTATAATAAAAGTTAGTCAAAATATAATTTTTTAGCAGCTATTGTAAAAAAGCTTCACTGTACAAGTTAAATGTAACGATAGTGTATATTAGTATTGTGTATCTTTATTAAAAATTTCATTAAATATTGAATTCTTGTTTTATTGATTTCAATGTTTTATGTCAAATCACTTCTTAAGTTCTTTTTAATAAATTTTATATTTTAGAAATTAACAAACTATAATGCATGATTCAGATTAATATCCTTAACCACAGGATACCTTATTTCAAACTTTTTGAAATTTTGTCACAATGTTGTGAAAAAGGAACTGTGTTACAATAATTTTGCTACCTGGCGTGAAATTGCCTATCAACTTGATATTGTCCGTGCGACGAAGGGGGGGGGGCACACGTGGAAGTTCATTGACAAGGGTCATGAAACTTTTTGAGTCTATCTAACCATTTATGTTATTAATTTTAATCTATCTTTATTATTTTATGAGTTATTCAACATCAAAATGGGTCCAGGACTTTATAAACACCCTGTAGATTTCCACAGGATTTTTAAAATCCCAATTCCGAATCATGCATTTCAGTTAGTGATAATTTCACAAGCTACTTGATCAGTGGGTATTCTACATTGAATCCACATCCTTTTTTGGGTAGCAATTTAAACGGATTTTTTAGAATCTCAATGTTTTGATACCATATTATTCTGACTGGCAAATTTTGAATTGCACATCTCGCACTCAATTGTTGACGATTTACCCACAATCGCACCAGATTTTATGATTGCATTTTTGTCAGTTATTGTTACCCATTTTTGAAGTTTTATAATGGTACATTGAAATTTCGAATCGGGAATTACTTTTTGATGACTCAATTTATGACCATTTGGTTTTGTCAATCGCCATTTCAACTGTTTAGGATTTCCACCAAATAGTTTTTAAAACATTGATTTTATTTTAATAGAATATTATTACAATCTGCAAATTCTAAATCACACTTTTGAATAATCAATGACCTGCATTAATGGTGACAATTTCATCTCAAATCCGCATTTTTTTCAAAATGTGAAATATTTGCAAACCCTTAAATTAAGTTCGCGCTTCTTGGTGGTAATAATTCTTTTATGCGAGAGAGTTTTTCGTGCTGTAGTGCAATGCCGAATTTCGTTTCCTTCATATCCAATTTTTTTTCGATGTTGTAGCAAAAATCGGATTAAAATAATCAAACGAAAATCCAAAGCTGGTTAAAAATAAAAAAAACGGAAAAACAGAGGATATTCATCCCTGCATACCTTTTTTCAACTAATCGCATATCCTAAAAATTCCGAAAAAATCAAAAATGTCTAGTATTCTACCCTTTCTGACTCTTCAAAAAAACTTAACAAACCTTGTTAAGTTTTGGAATTTGCAATATTATCTGACAACAAAAAAAAGGAAACTCAAGCTGAGATAGACAGATAGAAGAGTGCTTATAGCACTTTTATCAAATAAGTGAGCAAGTACACAAAATAAAGTAGAACTCTTACTTTTTAATTAACTTTTAAAGATTAAAAAAAATTTACAATATATAAAAATATTACAGAAGTAACTAAACTTTTGAATAAATAAAAATACTGCAAACTTAACGTAAATAAAATTTTTAACAAAAAAAAAAAAAACAGTGGAGATAGATTATTCATCAGTAGGTATACCCCCTCTACTATACCCCCAATTCTAATCTTTTCAACATTTTCAGAAATTTCTTTTTTCACATCAAGTAGTACAGAATTTCCTCATGCTTCATTTTTCTGTACAATTCCATCCCAGCTACTGCATCAGATCACGGGAGCACCTTTTTAGTCGTCTTGGCACCTAATTTATTTATAGGAAATAAATAATTCCTGTCATTTATAATTCTGAATCTTAATCATTCATTTTTCTGATATTTTCTTTGGCGACATGCCTTTTTTTTAGGAAGAACTTTAGAAATGAGCAGCTCAGGCTTTTCAATTCCTTCAATATACTCAACGATATTTTTCAAATTTTTTTCCACACAACATAGGTCTTTAAAACATTCTAATGACTGAACTTCACTAGAAATGCTCTTTAGCAGTTTCTCAATAGCCAATTTTTTATTGTCAAGGTACATTCTAGGAGTATTGCGCCTCTTTTGCAATATTTCCTTTTCTCCATTTTCAGAAATGTATTTTTCTCTCGTATCAATGACTAGTACAGAACTGTATTTTTCTGGCATCATTTTATGTACAGCTCTTTCGTTCTCTCTATCAACATCAAGATTGAAATCCCGAATAACGTTGTAAATGTCTTGACGCGTGATTACTCCTAATCGTGTGGTCGGGGAGAACTCGGATTGTATTCTGTTCATCAGGTCGCCGACTGACATCCCCGAACTCAGCATGTCGGCTAACATCAAGCGTTCGTCCTTTTGTAAGGAAAGTTTTTCCACCTCACACTCATGGCCTACATGTGTCAACTGATATCGCACCGTTATTTGTGTCGCCTCATAAAAAGTTTCCTTGATTACCCTGATCATTGCTGGACAAGTGACGCCAGCTTTTATTGATCCAGCAAATTTAGAACGTCTCTTACCAGTCAGATTTTTGCTAGGTTTCGTGACACCACTTCGGTGGCATTTGTAATATTGAAGTTCTGAATTTCCATCAATTCTCGAGCAGCTTAAAATGAATGAAGAAACAGTTTGGCGCTCGATTTCTGTTTTCCACTGGTCGAAATCTGATGGACAGTAAAATATTTTATCCTGAAATACAATTTCGATTTCCGGATGTTCTACCTCCATGTGTTTATGCAGATCTAACATTGTACGCTTTTTTATATTACAAAGAGCACATATTTTGGTGTACAAAGTATTGTCTAAGGAGTGGATTCTTTTCTCATGTCGGCGTAAGTTACTGTTGCTAGAAAAAGTCAGATTGCAAAGTTCGCACGAAATTTTATTCTCTACTGGAGCTGTAGAGAGGTCCATAGGTTCAAAATAGTCCATATTGTACTCTGATTGTATAATTTTATCTTTATCTAAAATCTGTTCTGAGTCCTGAGCATTATTTTCTGAAGTCAATACTTTGTAATTAACTGAAATCTGTACCGAATCATTCTCCAAATTGTTTGATGATAGCCCTGAAAAAGGCACTTTTGTTTGCAAATCATCAGGCATAGCTTAAAAGTTAACAATCTAAACTTCTAACACGATAGCAGACTGTATATCAGTTAAATCGGGAAAATAATTAACTCGTATTCTGTTTGAATAGCCAGCTCGTTTTGTTCATTTTGTACTTAGATTATTTATTAAAGAACTAGTTGTTCTACATTGACAGCTTCCGGTTGCTTATGTTGGGAGTAGTACATTATTTAGGTCAGCGTAGGGCTTAAAGTAAGATGATCCCAAGATATCTAGACATAAAGCATGGAAATAAACCTAAAAATATACCGTTTAACTCTTTAGTGATACAATGAAAATAAAGCATAGATATAAAGGCAGATATATCTTCCATATTAGTTTTTGATGGACTTGAAGTGGAGGTTTGATAGCTCTCTCGTTGTCTACCATGGCTTAAAAGTTGATTTTCATAACAGTTTTCATGCATAACAGAAGTAAGTAGCCAGAAACGCTTTTTCATGGGATTGTTTGGATTAAAATCATAATATTTACTAATTTGATTCAATCTATCCCTTTTCTTGGTTTGATGATTTTTTTTTAATATCTAACAAAACTATTAAACCTAAAGTTTCTAGTGCAAACTTCATTTCTACTTTTGAATTGGGTACATTGTATATTATTTTGTATTAGTAAATGTATTAAGTATGTTTTTATATTAGTACATTTTATGTTCAGTTGAACCTTTATTATCTGATACTCACAGGGTAAAAATTTCTTAGAAAATCAAAATTGTGGGCAATTAAGGATACTTTATAGGTTATATTTTAATGGAAAAATATTTCCGTATCGGAACCTGTTCGTGACAACTGTCATCGCTAGGATGGTGATGGTTTTTTGTTATTGCAAGAAATTCATTTAAAAAGTATATAGTAGTGAGTCATTTGGTTTCAGAGATATTTCCGTATAGTGATCTGTCGTGCCAACTACAATCGCCAAGGTGCCAAATAGATTTTAAACTTGCAGATTTAAAAAAAAAAATATGTTGATGTTTGCCTATGAGTTATATCTTTCAAGTTTGTCCCTTTCTGTGATGTTTTTTTATTTTTTAGTTTCTCGTAAGTCGCTGTTCGGAAGTTGCCAGGACTTGCCGATTATTCTGCCACAGATCACCATACATACATCTCCCTGTGGTACCCAGTTATACCTTTGCGAGTTTGTCCATTTCTGTGACGCTTTTGAGAAGATTTCCATATTGTGATCTGTGTGTGTATATAAAAAAGCGATTTCTGAATAAATCGTTTACAAATAGTTTCTCAAATGCGAAGTTCAAGTATGTTCATAACATTAATTGTGTTGTTAAAAATATCAAAAAATGATAAACCACTTAAAAATATTTTAAAAGTGATCAGAAAATGTGGTGAGCTTATAATCTGCATTAATCCAGCAGTTCATAAAGTGAAAACTGAAATTTGTGAATTGTAACCATGTTTTAAAGACATTGTAATTTGAAAAACCATGTATAAATGAATAAAAAAACATCAAACAAGACTGTAAGCCCCACAATCTCCTTCTAGAATTAGCTCCGCATTGAGTATTTTATATTTTTATTGGTGGAACTTTCATTTTTAAAAATGAAACTTCACTTAGTTTCAAATATTGTTGACATATTTCTTTTATTTAATTAATTCAAATGCATGTTTATCTAAATATGATATAGTGTGTGGGAGTAAATTATAAAAAGTAATTTTTTTACACTTCTATCACCATTTTTTTTAAAATTAAATAATGCATTTTTTCCAAGCTCTGCAAAATATAATATAAAATGTTAATTTATGAGCTCAAAATTCTAATTTTATGTAATTTTAATCTATTTAAAAATTTTATCTGTGCTTCTCAGAGTATAAAAACTATTTCCACCAATCTGCTTTAGAAACCAAATTTATTTGCTCCAAAGCACATTTTTTTTTTCTGCTCCAAAATGATTAATGCTGTTGTTCCACCTCTAATCATCAATAATCTATCTAATCTCACAATCCATCATCTTTGTTTTCTATAATCAAATTAAATTATACTTAATTTTAAACTTTCTTCCAGAAAAAATTACTTTCTTACTGTATATGAACTTCTTGCTTCCTTTATTTTTTATATAAATCATTGACTTTTAAATGAATTGAACATATTTTAGCCTAAAATAATTTTCTTTAACCAAATTAAATTATTGAATGTCAAAATTTTTTTATTTTTTTTTTCGTTTTAAATTAGTTAGCCTTTACATTTTAGAATTTAATTGATTCAGTTTTGATGGAGTTTTTTTTTTCTTCAAAATTTTATGAAATTAGTTTGAAGGAAAAATATTTTCTAATTATGTAGTTTTTCTAAATAGTTTTCAATTGAGAGGCAGAAGGCTGCAGGTTATACACCCCTAGTATAAAGTATGGAATTTTTTTTTAAGTAAATTGGGATTATTCCGCCAACCATTATCGCCAAACCCAAAAGATAGCTTCGCCATTAACCGCAAATCTTATCATATTTAGGATTATGGGGTTTGGAAAAATGACAAAACAAAAAACACTGCAGAACTACCCAAAAACACTTGGAGATGTATTTAAATGAATTTATGTGGCTGTGACTGCACAAGGATAATGACTTGTTCATTTGCGCTTTAAAAGCTATCAAGGATTTTTGGCTACCAAAATGATTTATAAATAATGTATATAGTTAAATTCAAGAACAATTCAATGTGTAATTACTAAAAAAATTGAAGTTTTACTTTGTTACGATTGTTTTTGTTACACTTTATTATTATGTATCTTTGCTCTTACATTTTTTAAAAATTTACTTACCTCCCACGGTTAGCCTGACGGCAAGGGGACTCTAACCCATGATCCGTGTACCACTGAGGATATTTCACGTCAGCACTTTGGTCAGTGCAAGCCGCATACAAAATTCATATCGATCAGCGGAGCTGGATTGAATTAATGAGGTGGTGGGATCGAACCCGGTTCACCTCATTGAAAGGCAAACACTCTATCCCTTGAGCCATCCCAGCTCGTTATTATTATTTGATAAATTTAATGATTTTTGAAGGTTTATTTTGAAAATTGCTTTTCATTATGATGGCACTAATTCGCCAGCGTTGGCAGGATAATCCCAAAGTACAAGTCAATAGGATACTCCCAAAGTATCTTTTTTTTATGTATTTTTAGTACATGTTAAAATTATTGTGAACAAGCAACTTGTTTTTATTTTAGTTTAGTAAAAGGCAAAATGGGACTTATTTCCCATTACCTGAGAGTTTTCTTCAGATCCCACACAAGACCCATTAATTCACGAATGGCAAAGAAAGGTGAAACAACTTCAAGCATTGTCTACTTAGTCTCATCTACAACAGCTTTTATTGGTTTAATTTACCTATTTAATAAGAATTTAGACAATAACAGAGATGGTCCCTATACTGATGGAAAAGCCTACACACGTTAGTAACTTTTCTAAATTATTTCTTTATATATTTATTTCTATTTTTCATATACGTTTACAGTTTTGTTATAATTTTGCATCTACAGGAACGCTTTTTTCAGCATATCTGTGCACCCGGAAAGTCATGAATTTCGGTATTGAACAAAGTTTATCGTGAGATGCCATGATTTTAACCAATTTTTTTAAAAAATCATGGAAAGTCATGGATTTAGGTCACCAAAAAAATCAAATTTTTAAATTGGAATATGCACCACAACCCCCCCAATTTCATGGTGTTCCGAATATCTGAATTTGTAACAAAATCCCCACTCGCAGTCATATTTTATTAAAATATAAAATGTTTTTATCATGTTCTTTAAAAAATGTGATGTTCTTTCAAAAAATGAAAGAAAAAATATCATTTCTAGAATGAATTATTTTCTAAACTTCAGTGATTTCAGAATTTTTGCTATTATTTTTTTTTTTTTATGTTATCAATTTAAAATTCTAATTGAAGCAAACCAGACATTGGCGAAATTTTTTTATTCTGAAATGAGAACAGAAAAATCAGAAGTATTTCTTTCCTTTCCGATAAACAAGAAAAGTATCTTTAGAATATAAGTGTGAAGAGAGGAAAAAATTATTTGCTTTTGTATCTTTTTCAGCTATTTTATTGCTTCAACTCTTTCTTTACTCTATTTTTCAAATTTAAAATCTATAAATATAAAGATGCAGAGTGTTAACAGTTTTGGTTATACCTATCATTTCAATGAATGTTATTATAATGCTTTTTTAAATTTATTGTTGTGTTTTTGTCGTAGAAAATGCTACTTCGTTAATTCATGAAAAATTATTGGAATTAGTCGTAGAAATTCATGAATTTGAGATTCTAAAATGTAGCAGATACCCTGTAATTTTTTCTTCAGAACATCTGGGGGATGGGTTGTGTCCCCTCTAGAATTTTTTGGGTGTTTGATGTATTGTAGCACAAAAGGGAAATTGTTGAATATTGCAGTTTTGTATAGACATAGTTGTCACTCTCATCTGTGAAACAAAATTCCCTGCTCATATTATACACAATATATTAAAAAAATTCACACATTCACTGCGCTCTTGTGAAATATATTACGATAAAGATGCAAATTTTAGTTGCTGGAAAACTTTGAAGAAATAAAAAAAATCTCAACCAGGATGCATAGCATTTTTTAAAAGTGCTTAAAGGTGCTTATTTTCGATTTTCATTTATTAAAAGCCCTTAAAGGGGCTTTTTTCATTGGGTGTTTTTAAAAAGGGCTTAATTTTCCCTTTTCCGAAATGTGATATTTTTTCTTTACCTTGTCGATTTTCGTCACATGTTATGAAAAAGCCTGCTTTTCACATTGTTCTATTCAACGTTTTCACAATTCGTTCAACCACAATCCATTTCGGCTTACCGTTGGTCCATAGCACGTGAAAGCGCCAATCATTTTACATGTTTGATGAAATATTTGCAAGTCCATCTACTGAGCTGGGTTCTATGAGATTATTGCACTCGCATGTGCAACTCTGCTGCAATTTGCAAGACATTCTCAATTTCAGGCTTCATTTTCCACCCTCTGATATCAAACCGAAAAATCTTTCGATCTTTATGTGGTGACTAACATAATCAAGAAAAGAGTTCTTTATCAGAAACTAGTTATTTTATCATGATTATGTATAGTCTTTGAAAATTATTTTGGCATTTTTATTAATGTATATAGTTAATTTTTTTTAAAAGAAAATCAATAATTCATCAGGAGTTTCATTTTTCATAAGGAGTTTTAACTGGATCCTCAACAATCTTGAGTACCGTTGAGTTTATCTTTTCACAAAAACTAAACTGTAAAAACTTTTTGCATTTTCAAAGATAATAATATATTAACACCACACTAAAAAAAAAAGAGCTTAATAAACTTGTAGGTGTATTTATTTCAGGGTTGTGGTTTTGGGCAAAACACTTGGATTTTACTGTTTTAAACTGCCCTAAATTTCCTAAAACTGTCTTAAAGTGTCTAACACCTTGAACATTGGTAAAAGCAAAAAGTCTATATGTATAACCATTGTACACATAATAATTGCATATATTAATAAATATTTGATACTTTTTATACAATTTGCTTTAACTTATTAAAGGAAAATAATATAATATAATAGGAAAAGATTTATAACTTTTGAAGCTCTACAATTTATTGAACAACAAAAATTAATACCTTTAGGTGAATAAATAGTTTTCTAATACAAATAATTATGTTTTTGCATAAGATAAATAATGCAATATTCAAAATAATAATAAACTTCTTTTCGTAACACAATTCATTTTGTTTCTTGTTCAAAAATTTAAATTTTATTTTCACTATTTTTTTTTAAATTGAATAAAAGGGTTTTGGACAAAGAGATTTTGGACAGTGGACTGTGGATTAATCTAGTCAATCCTAAAACTTGCCAAGTCTGATTTATGTACATTTAAGAGTAGTAAACCATCTTTTTATAAATATTGTTATTGTCTTTTTCTTCATTGTTAATAACCGAAGGAGAAAACTTGAATAATTCTGAGTAACAAATAACTTTAAATATAAATAACTAATCATTGTTTTTATTTGATTCAATCCTATTAAAAAGCCACAATTGTTCCAATAATTCTCTTCTCGTTTTTTGAAATCTTTGTTTAGTCTATCAATAGATAAAATGAATATTGATAAATGGAGAAAAAGGTTGAGAATTAATATTTAAAAATTCACTGAAGTTTTGCTCAGAATTTTGGAAGTTCTGTGTCCTAAGAACCCCTATACTTTCCAAAGCATAAGGAATCACAAATTTTAAATTTAAAAAAAATCTACAAAATACAAAAGAATTCTTGTACTTGAATAAAGAGCTCCCAATATATTTATTTCATCTTGGTGCCCGTAAAACATATGTCCAGCCTTGTTCTGAGAACAGCTATATCATATGTAAATAAATAATATTTTGAATATAGGATATTTTTTTTAAAAAAAAATAGTATTTTGAGTTTAATTAGTTATTTTTCTTTTTCAGCTTATGATACTGCTAGAAAGTTTGGATTAGACAAACCTGCGACCATTATCACTTTCAAAGGATTCTCAATGGAAAAAGAAGTTCTTGATAGAGATGATGAAAAATTCATCCCAACAAAAATTTTATAAATTTTTTATTTGATAGAGTGTTTGTCAAATTATTGAACAGTTTAGGTATAAATAAATTATTTTGGAAAGTTTATTTTTGTTTGAGTGTCATTGAACCTGTGTTTGGTTATTATCTTAGTCTAATTTGAAAGCAGATTCATTTTTTTTTTCTTTAAACATCATTCATCTTGGATATAAAATTTATAAAGCTGTATTTTATTTCTGTATTATTCTTATTTGTAATAAAGTTAGAAAATAAAATTTGTCAGCTCATTAAAAATAATTTTATTTATTTATTTTGAAAAAAAAAAAGCTTATGAGCATGCATATTGTAATTAAGCTCTCTGTTTCTTTCAGAAGATTTAGAAATACTTCAACTTAGTACTGCACTTAGTTGAAGTATTTCTGAACTTCCTGAACTTTTACTGCAGTTTTTTACATAGAGTTTTTAAAAGGTGCTTATTTTTTATTTATGTTTTTGAAAAGTCCTTAAGGGTGCTTTTTTTAATTTAAGGTTTGTTAAAAGTGCTTCATTTTTTATCTTTTAAAAAGAGATTTTTTTCTTTGCCATGTCGATTGTCATTCTAAATTACAAAAAATGCAGGATTTTCACAATTTTCTCTGCAATATTTATCAGAAACTAGTTACTTTATCATGATTATGTAAAGTTTTTGAAAATGGTTTTGAGTTTTATTGATTTTATGTTTATAAATTAAGAACTTTAAACGATAGAAAAAAGTTATTTTTGTTACTGCACAGATGCTAATTATGTTTTTTTTTTTTTTTTTTTTTGGAAAGTGGTTAAAGATATTTTTTGAGTGCTTAAAAAGTACTTCAAAGGTGCTTATTTTTTGTTGAAAAATCTGGCTACACACCCTGAAATAAATACACAAATCTATTTATGTACATTTTATGTTCAATACCAACTTGCAGTGATGTACACATTTATTAACTTTTTATCACATAAATCAATTTCTCTGATAAAGATAAGAATTGAACCAATTGTGCTAAATTACATAACATGTTTATAAAATTTTAATATAATAATAAAAACTTACAAATTCTGATTGGGGCATGTATTTTCTAACTTTACATGTTTGGAAAGGCAAGTAAAGCATTAACCGGAAATATTGTAAAACACCAATTAAGGAAATATAAGAACAGTATCAAAGAATTGAAAGTGGAAATCAATGATGCTCGCAACTATTTTGGAGTTTAATCACATAAAATGTAATTCATAAAATTAAGTTTACTTATTCTTTTTTATTTTCCTAGTCATGCTTATTTTTAATGAAGGAAAACTTGAAAGTGTGGTCTATAAGCAAAACGAGAGTGACAACATTCATGTTTGAAAGCAAATCTTAATTGTAATTTTTAATTCTTACTGCAAAACTTTATTGAAATAACACATTGCTGTATTTATACCGTCATTGTTTACTCTCACTTAGTAAGTTTTTTGTCTGATTTCGTAACTTAATTAATAGTTAGCACTAATTAATTAGCATGTTTGAGGTCACCCCAAGGAACCATTAAGATTAGCACTTAGTTCATGAAAATCAGATCATTAGAACAAAAGTTATTCAGGGTGATCTAATTTTTTTTGTTTTACTGTCTGTACATGTATGTTTTCATTAATATGCATTTGAGTTTGTGCATGTAAAAGCTTTCTTCCTTTATTTAATTTCTAGACTTACATATCCAACTGATAATTGTAAAGATTTTATAATCTTTCAAACCCCAGTACTCATTAATGGTTATGATATCATCAAGGCAATTATCAGTGCCTAAACAAACAAAAAAAATCTTCCTATCAGCATATATGCAACAACGGTCTCAACACACTTTAAATCAACATTGTTTGCAACTCGCATACATTCCTTTTTATCTGTCTGTGAAATATGTCCATGTTAATTTGTGAAATTGGTGAAGAAGGAAAGCAAATATCATTTCCTTTTTTGCTGTCCCAATTTAACACACTGTTGAATTAAATAATTTGATTCCGATCCATGCCACCAAGTGCAGTACCAAATTGAAATAATTTGCAATCCCAAAAGAGTACAAATGACCAAAAAGATCCAAGAAATCCTGGGATAGAAGCGAAGTAGTATCCATCATTGCCGATTTGAAAACCTGGAAAAAGAAATTTTTAAAAAAGGGCTTTTAATCATTATGTTGATGTAACTAATTAAAAATAAATTGCGTATCTGTGGAAATTTGATTATTGCTCGATTTTTTTTTAAAAGAAAAACTAATTGTTTTTTGCGTGTCAAGTTTCTTATTTGTGGAAAAAACTACCCTGGCCGAAATAGGTTTCTTCCAACTCAAGTGGGGAAAATGAAAACTCTTTTTCAAAAAGAAATATCAAATACTAAAACAATGTATTAATTTTTAAGTTGTCTAATATATCATTTTTGAATCTGCGGAATCTAAAAAAGCAACAAACGAAGGAACAATAAATTTAATGTATTTCTAAAGAAATTAAAATAGCTGTAGTTTTTCAATAGTTGAGTATAGAAAAATCTAATTTTACAATCACACAGAGATGCTTGTGCTCAGGAAAAAAGCCAGACTTCTGGATTTTTTGCTGACTGCAATCCACGGTCTAGAAATCATCGATCATATGTAAAGATTCATGTAACATTATGCGTAAAAATTCTTGTATATTTTATTTAAAAATTTTAGAACAAGAATTTATACTTGGCATCTCTTTCATTTGTAAATATTTTTTCTGGTAGAATAATAAATGTGATTAGAGATAAAAGTCAATTTATACATAATCATTAATTTAAATTATGCTGCATATCATTTATTTAGAATTTCATGTTGTGAAAATATATGTGATTTAAAATTATAAAGACATTAACTTTTTTTGAAATGCGTCATTGATGATTTTATTCAAGAAATTTTCAGGAATTTTGAGTTGGGCTCACAATTACCCCTGATTATAGGAATCAGGAATTGAATTCATAAATACAAATAGTATAATAATTACCTATAATAATAGTATAATAATTACCTATACATAAATACAAATACTATATTAATTACCCAATGCTGTTAGGTGTGAACACTAAAAACGACACTTAAATAATATGATTTATAGATTTTTCAAATTATCTTCGATTTATAGATTTTTCAAATTCTGTATGAAACTAAAGACAGGTCAGTTGTCTTTTTCATGAAGTAGATGTGGAAAATATGGTACTTTATGGTAATATTTTAAATTCATGCTTTCTTCCTCCTTAACTTAACTTGCCTTCCTCCGTCAATGATTTATGAGTGAATCTAATTCAAACTTGCGTTACACAGAGGAAAAAACTACGGAAATATCTCACTGTTAATCCAAAAACAACAGGGCTGTACTTAGTCAGTGTGAAATCGGGACACCGACACAATTAATAAAACTGAAATAATTCCAGTTATTTATTTATAATCCCCTTCCTAGGATTTTACCTTATTAGATTAAGCCAAATAAGTTTTCTAATAGTGTAACTAGTATATATAAAATAAATACTTAATTTAGTATTAGTTGTTAAGATTTACTTCAATTAATCAATTTTCCTTGATACAATTAATTCTTTTCTTTCGGAAGGTCCTTAAAAAATTCTATTTCCACAGTACCTATAGTAAGTACCTTTTTACTAATATTAGCATGCTTGGTATCAAATAAAACAATACCAATTACCATAATAGAGCCGCGATGTCTCAGGGGATAGAGCTTTATTATGGCCTTCCAAGGAAGTGAGCCGGGTTCGAATCCCAGCGATGTCTGGTCCATACAAATCCTCATCCGGCTTGCACCGACCACAGTGCTTAAGTGAAATATCCACAGTCGTAGACGGATCATGGGTTAGAGTCTCGTGGTCTCCCTCTCCGTGTAACGCAAATGCTGGTTAGTTCCATCAAAAAGTCCTCCACGAAGGCAAATTTCTCCCAATACTAGATCCAGGAGTTCCCTTGTCTTCTGAATTATATTCAAAATTGAGTCGGCTGTTCAACGACGGTTATAAACATAAAACAATTACCATAATACTAGTAATACCCAATACAAAAATTAATTAAGCATCGTATCCTAAATGAACTAAGTGAAAATTGTGAACGATTTTTTGGATCGATCCTCCTTACCCCCTCCCTCCAAATTTCAGGACGAACGATTCTAAAGTTATAAGAGAGCGACACACTCTTAATATAATATAATAATAAATAATGTATAACGACTAAAAATATAATATAATATAGCCGTCGTTGAACAAACGATCCAAATTTTGAGCTTACTGCTACTAATGTTCAACTCCGTAGACTTGTACGTTTGAACTCAATCCAGAAGACTCTTCCTGGATCAAATACTGGAAGAAATTTGCCTTTGTGGAGGACTTTTTGATGGAACTAACCCGCATTTGCGTTACACGGAGGGAAAAAACTCCCACGGTTAGCCTGACAGCAAAGAGACTAATCCTTGACCCGTCTATCACTGAGGATATTTTACGGCATCACTGTGGTCGGTGCCAGCCGAATGCGAAAATCATATCGGCCAGCCATCGCTGGGATTCGAACCTGAATCATTTCATTCGTAGGCGAACGTTCTATTCTTTGAGCCACCACTTCCTTTTATTTCATAACCGTCGTTGAACAGCCCACCCAATTTTGGGTTTACGACTACTAATGTTCAACCGTAGTCTTGTAATTTTGAACACAATCCAGAAGACAAGGAAACTCCTGGATCAGTACCCCCAGAGGTATTGATTTGTTATGGGAACATGGAGAACTTTGAGACTCGACAGACTTAACGTGCATCAGTCACAATTTATTACACGGGAAATCTTCGGCCGGCGGGGATCGAATCCACAGACTCTTGGACATGGGCCCAGTGCCCTACCAACCAGGCTATCCCGGCCTTTCCTTCTTTTATTATAATCAATTTATTTTATTCTATAAAATTACGTAAGTAATTAGAATTCTTTTAAAAATAAATTTTATTATAAGAGAAAATACACTACGCCAAGCCAAATTTATTAAAAATGCTTCATGTATAAAAATTCGTATACTTCTCCATAATAGAATAACCTACTTATCTAAATACATTACAGTTTGATTACACACCAACATTGTTTTTTGAAGTGATATGACCTGCAAAAGAAAATACTATGCATGACATAAAAAATGAATAAACATAGTCGAATTACCTTGCTTATTTCTGATTCCAAGAACTATATCTGTTATTCCCAAGATCATAAGGCTTATAAATAAAATAAAAGCAGCAATTTTGATGAATTGTAAGACTTTGAAGCTGATCTCTTTTTGTATTCTGTAGTAATTGGCATTCAAACGTAAGGAAACGGCACACACGATTTCTATAAAAAAATAATGATAAATAAATTAAAAAAGGACGTAAACAAAAATATTATTTTAAATATTATCCCTTAAAGATAGATTTAAGCACTGTTTAGCTACAAATTAATCAACACGTTTCCATGATAACATAATATGTAATTATTAGAGATCAAAATTCTGTACATATGCACAGCACCAACAATATTGTTGGTCTCTTATTAATGTTTAACAGAATGCTTTCGAAATAATGAGCAAGAACTTCCAATTAAGCATTTTTATCGGCTTCTCTATAACTGTGATTTCGATGGGGTTTTTATAGCATAAAATCCCTATCATATAACAGGGTGCGTAGCGTGTTTTAACAAGTGCTTACTTTTGTTTTTTAAACGCCCTTAAAGGTGCTTTTTTCATTGGGTGTTTTTAAAAAGTGCTTAATTTTCCCTTTTTAAAAATGAGATTTTTCCTTTACCATGTTGATTTTCACTTCGAATTATGCAAAGACACAGTTCACATTGTTCTATTTAACGTTTTCAGGATTAGTTCAACCCCAATCTATTTCGGTGTATAGTCAGTCCGTAGGGTATGAAAACAACATTCGTTTTACATGATTTAAAATTTCATGATTTTTGACAATTGTCAAAAACAATGCCAAAAAGTTTTTTTTTTGTTGGCATGACGGTTAAAACAAGATAAAACGGTTAATTTTCAAAAACTTTCCAACCCTGCCCAATTATGATGTTTTTTTGAGTGCTTAAAAATATTTTTGTGTGCTTGAAAAGTGCTTATTTTTTGTTGAATAATTTGGCTACGCACCCTGTATAAGATTCGAAAAAGTGCATATTATTGATGGTCTATAACGATTCCTAAAAGAGTATTTCAGTGAACGACATTCTGTTGAGTGACGTTCTTTGATGTTACCAAAGAGTGTCGTTCACCAGATCGTACAGTTTTGATGGTATATTTCTGCTGAACCAACAAGAATTCCCATCAAACTATCATGGATTGTTGGTCCATGAGAATCAAACTTCTCTTGATGGTTAACCATCATAGTATTAAAGTAGCATCCTCCATCATGGCATGATGGAAGTTTGCTGGCATATCAAAAACCATGAATATATACATAATGGAAAATATTGGATGATGGTGACCATCAAATGATGATGGACCATCATGAATCACACTGAAACCAACATAAACCATCAAGATGTTTAGGTGGGACCACCAAGAAATTTGATTTTTGATGGTATACAATTCAAAGTTTTTCTTACAATTATTAAATGGAGTAAAGTAAAATAAATAATCATGAATTATTATTTTTCCTTGCAGGGTAATATTTCTTCGGATGAACGAATTTTATATTTGTAGGTAAAAATTTATCGATTTCGCTTAAAAAGTTCTAGATATAGCAAAAAATTTAAAATTAACATTAAGTGTCCAACTTTCGACCCATAAGACAATATTTTCCAGATTGTGGTTACCCTCCGGGTTTTAAAGAATCCGCTGAAAAAGTTTAATCCTAGAAAGTACGTTTCTGTGCCAGTAACTTAAAAGCTGTCTTAATCAATTTTAATTTACGTCCTTAAGATTAAGGTTATTAAAATTTGTGCACTGTGTATACATATAATCTGACAATGAAGCTATTGTTTCCAAAATAAGTTCAACTCCCTTTAATAGGTTTTATTACGAAAGACTTTGACAACATTGAAAGTTTCAGATCCATAAAATAATTACACTGGAGTCATATAATCGCCAAAACTTTTTTTTCTCTTTTTTTTTTTTGGCAAATGGAAGAATATGTTTACCGAAATGTGTGCTTAGTTTGGGCCCGCATTTAAATTATTGAAGTTGAATTTTTTTGGATTAAAATCTTACATTTTTAATGCATAAATAAAAAAAAGTAGTTGTAGTTCATTCACGTCGCACTAGAGCTGCACAATGAGCTATTGGCGATGGTCTGGGAAACATCCCTGAGGATGATCACAATCTTGATCTTCTGCAGAGAATATGGCACCCCCGCTTCTGTAGCTCGGCGATCTGCACACGAAGTCGTGCACTTTACTGTAGAACAGTTCAACGAGGACCCATACCGCACACCCTCGGTCCCTACGCAGACTAATCCAAGTGGTCATCCCTCCGCACGCTGACCGCAGACAGTGATGCTTGACTTGAGTGATCTGCGGGGAACCGTGTCTTAACGATCAGTCCACTGCGGGACATAATAAGGAAAAGAAATTAGTTTTCAAGCTCAAAAATGTATAATTAAAACGTGTAGTAACAATTTAATTTGATAATTAAAAGTTCATTCCATGTTTACGCTTTGTAAACAAAATTTACGTTTATGCAGCAAAATTTCTTTAATTAATTATTAATTAAATTAATGATTATTAATTAATTAATTAATAAATTATTAAATTAATTAATTAATTAAATTAATGAATTATTAATTAAATTTAATTAGTAATTCAGTGCAATAAAAAAAAATTCTAGGTCCAGGTCTCCTAGGCCTAGAATTAGATCTCCAAATTTTTTAGGTCCTAATTTAGAATTGGTCCAAACTCAGTCATTTTTTAAAGATTTTAAATTTCGAAAATAAAATCGCGGTACACCCTACTATGTAAGTAATAAATCACAGCACAATTATTATCTTTAGCACTTCAAAATCATACTTAACTATCTTAGCTAATATTTTATTTTAAAAATAATCTAGGCAATACAAAAAAAAATTTTTTACCTAATATTAGAAAAGCTACAGCGGCGTTTGTATTTTGTTTCCACATCGTGAAAAAAAAGCCGAAAGCACCCATAAAAAAACAACAAACCTCGCCACTTATTTTACACTTCAAAATTGTATTTCTCTCCAAAGTCATTGTCGCAAACTCTATTCAGCACAAATCTGAAAGGAAAAAAATTGTAAGAGGTGGTATTTATTTTTACTCATACATATGCTAATTTATTCATTGGTACAACAAACATTTGCAGCCTTGTATGCTCAATTAAGTCTTATAAACCTTCGTTGACTGATCGCAAGGACACGGTTCCCAGTAAACACCGAAGTCAAGCATCACTGACTGCGGTCAGTAAGCGGGAGGGTGACCACGTTGATCAGTCTGCATCAGGGCTAAAGAGAATAGAAGGGCTGG